ATCGATGGTAATGGATTCATCATTGTAATATTTCACGAACATTTTCACTGGGATGAACGGTGTCGTTTCTTTCCCTCTATAGGACACGGTAAATGTCTGGTTCATTACGCGAAGAAACATCACGTTTCATTGATTCGCAATATAGCGCCGCATTCACCATCGTCGTGTCACGTATTCGAATTTACGGCGCCATGTGTCTCAGGATCACGATGTTAACCCAGCAAATTGAGACAGATTGTATCCAGCTTTTCGATTCGTCATGCTCCTTGCAACACCTTTAATCTCATGGAAATCAGATTACGCTTACACCGAGCCGCGTGCCGTGACGTCCGTAAAAGAAAAGAACAAACACGGGTTCCCTGTTTTGAATATCAGCATTCATCGAGGGAAATTCCTATGCATGTTAAGTATATAAGAAACATGGCGGTCAAAGCGGATAAGTCGATAATGGAAAAGCCCGGGAATTGCACGAAGATGCTCGTAACTACCTCCTCCGCCGCAATTTTATTTACATGCATAATACAGGCGAGGCTCGGATAATGGCAAAAATAATCCTGCCCTCAGCCGCGAACTTTCCCGATCTCGCGCTTTACGCGACCGATCGGCGATAACGAAAAATCAATTTCGCTGCAATTTATCGCCGCGATTTTCATCCCGCTATCCGCCGCGATCATTAGAATTTTTTCAAATTTCGCCGCATCGCCTCTCGCATATAAATAGACCCATTACATCGAGGAATTCCTTATCGGCTGACTCCCCAGCCACCCCTATCTCCGTATACGAATAAAACCCCCCGTGTCTTGACGCTTCTTGGTCGAAACGGTGCTGCCACGACCGCCGAAGAGGCATCCACGGCCACTTATTGATTTCACGATAATCAGGAGCCATTATTGCCGGCGTAATCCCGGCATAGACGTCGAATCGCCACAGCAGGCCGGAGATTATGGTGCTGTGTCTAAGTATCGATATGAAACGCGACATGCAGTGGGCTGCCAGTCAGGTTCGGCCACTGGCTGATGGGCTCGTCGCGTAATCCCGTGTTGGCCGAACGATTGAAATTATCTTCATGACCGATGTCGAGATCTCGTTTGCCGAGCCTATTCCACCAGCTCACACGCGTGCGAGTTACATTCGGGCAACGGCCGCGTGTCAAATGTATAATTAGCGCGATGAAATATGCATTAAACATCTCGTTTATTATTAACGTCGATAGATTTCGAGCATGTCCGTGGGACGCAGTCCCGATCGACGCACGCGGCGCGCCATCGATATTCTTCGCGACGGATTTGCATAAAATTGCGCGGGAAAGGCTGGAAAATATTGCGCCAACGATCGCTACGCGTCGCGGTGCTATCGGGGACGAAATATGCGGGAAAAGTCTATCGCTCGTTAAAATAGTTTCGGGACGAAATGTTTTGGAAATTCGCGAATTCTGGGGCTGAAACGAAAGCGTTGCGGGGGTAGCTGCCAACGGCTACGCCGACTATTTGCGAAGGGTTTTTCGTGCTGCGGTAACCTCGATTGTCGTCGTTATGGGAGATGTTGAAAATTCCGATCGGAATATGCGACAACTCAAACGAAACAGCGAATAATGAAACAAAGGACGGGCTTAATAAATTCGTTTTAAACGGGAATTGTCGAGTGTTGTACGCAAATTTGACCCGTTCGACGTTGAAAGGCTAAATGATAGCGGTGTTTCGTTAGAAATATTTGCTCTCTGCGTTTCTTTTCCGAATTTCATCAGACTTTTCTTTTTTCTCTTTTTCGGTTCCTATGCCTTTTGGGAATGGTTTTTCCGAATTTATTCAGAGCCGCTGCGAAATCAAAAATACACGAGCAATTGATCTGCTCCTGTGACCGTTCTGTTCCCAGAATTTTATACGTTCGAAATGAATCTGTCATCCCGCGACGATGAAAGAATGGTATCGCGCTAACCGTGATTCGGAATTCAATATTACGAACCGGTTTTAAAACACAGCGTGTAACCGAACGTCTCTTTGAATTGTTCGACGAAAGCTGCGAGTTTTTTTATCCCTATTTTTTTGCGTGAAAACTAGCGTTGACGCGTGATCCATTCGAGCCCGTTGACGCGTAATATTTTTAATGCGATTTGCGCGGTAACGCGATAGAAATCGCGGATCACGCGACCCACCGTAAAATATTACAGCGTTCAAATTATCACTTTCCTACAATTTTTCCGCAGTCGTTCCAAGGTATACTCACGAATAATCGCGGTGCTGTTTGATATTCCTATCTGAGAGTCGCGAATATATTTCACCCCGAAATTTACGATTATGTCACCCCGTAGCGACGAATAAACTTGCGAAAATCTTCAGCTGGATCCTAATATCTCGTTATCCGTAACAAATTTCCAACGACGGGTAATATTTCAAACTTTACACGCGAAATTCGCTTCGTCGGTGGTGCAGTCTTAATCGCCCAAACTAATGAATCGAGTCAACGTAATTCGCGCGAGAATAATTCGCATTCGCGTGTCACCGACACTTGTTCTTCCGTGTCGTTCGAGTTACTCGAAATGCAGGGTCGAAAAATCGAGCTTTCGCCATTTACATTCGATCGCGGGTTGCACTCACCCCCTCGGCTCTGCAACCCCCAGCCAGCTGGGCCGACGTCCACGTTTCTAATTAAATTCCGGCAACGTGAAACACGGGATCGTTTCGTGGCGACGCGAACGAATTTTCATTCGACGAAACACAGGGACGATCGGTTTCTCCCGCGAGCGTTTCGACGTCGTTCAAACGACGACGACGACTTTCGAACTCGCTCGAGCGTGCCGGCGAAAGATTGGCCGAGATCGCGACGGAAGGCAGAAGCTTCGACGAGATTGGACAATTTCTCGCCGTGGAAATCGCTTTCTTCCGGTGGAAATTCAACGACGTGCGAGCGAGCGACAATAAAAGGAACAGAAGTTTGAATTTATCCGGTCAGGATGCTCGAGGGTCCTAGCTAATTCGCATTAAATCGTTCCCCGTGGTCGACTTCCTGCTGTTTGCTGTTGGATCGCGACTCCGCTTCCTCTTTGCGAGGAAAACGCAACAGATACGTTGAATTTTCGAAAAATTTCCGCGCGACGGCGAACGAAAAGTTTGGAATACCGTGATTCGATATTAAACGCGATAATTCGAAGTTCGGGTCAAGAGACAAAGGGGGAATTAATATTAACGCGGTGGCACGATTTTGTTCCGTTTTATGGATTTTCAAAGTTTTACGGTCGAATGTGGGTGATTGGGACACTTTTAATAATCGCATAGATATCAATCTTACCGTTCATGGAATATTAATGTATCGTTGGCGAAACAATCAACTCGATTGTTCTTCGATTCGTATCGATCATCCTGACGTACGCAGATTGGTCTGCCTTTGATCGAATTGTCTTCGACGTTCGTCCCATCTACTTCGAAGCTTCGCGATAGCCAGATAGCAGATATGCGGGCACAATACGGGAAATCAGGCCACGAAGCACGAGCTTGCGATATCGTGCAATTTCATTTTCTAATTAGCCTATTTAAACCACTCTATCCTCCCATTACCCGACGCAATTATAAAAATATAAACTGGCTGAAAAATTCTGAGCTACGGCTCTACCGCGGCAAAAACTTAATTTCTAAAAACGTTTTATAATTGAAATGAAACCACAACACGCGCGGCTGGCTTCCTTTGCGCTCTTTATAAACAACCCTCGTAACAACAGTCTCTCAGACGTAACAGGAATCTTACTTTAAACACGCCAAGGTACCAACCGAGTACGAACTCGCGCTCAGTGGGAAATTTCAACGAAAGGCTAGTCAAAATACGAAGATGTCTTTCGATTTCAACGAAAATTCGTGTCTCTTGCTAATTTCGAATTCGAAGTCAAAGGAAAAACGAAAAATAAAATTTGGAAATTCTTTTCGCGAACAGAAATTCACATGTCGACACTGTCTCGTGTAATAAAAATGAGGTCAAAATTCACAACGATCTTAATTTATCTTCGTTTACATACGAATGCTTGCGTAGCTCTTAGCTTGATATCATATGCCAAAGATTTTTCTTTGGAAAATGATACCAATTACCAGGCCTCACCGTGTCGTGCACAAAACGACTATTCAAAATTATGGTATCTTGGAACAAGAGTTACACGAGTAAGTTCAGAGTTATTTTGTATTATGGAATTGCAAAGTTTACGTTTATAGGATGCAACTTATGGGGAAAATGTTTGAAACGCACAGTGTTTTAAGTACAATACGTGCTGGTATATCGAACACGCTGTAAATCTGAAGACATATAGGAGCTGTAAATTTCGACAACTTTGATGACCTACATCTCGGTAATCGATGACCATTTGATTCATCGAAATGTATGTAAGAAACGTGTCATAGTAGCGAAACGCTGTTTTGCACTCGAAAAATTGACTTTTGGCCAGCTTTTTGACGAAATTCCCTACTGTGCACCGTAACTCCGCGATGATCTTCAGCCACGTAAGACGTCACATTTTATCTCGAAACTAGCTCGTTCCTCTAAATTCTTATACTTACCCGGTTCACCATCGCGGAATTGGCCCCTGGTATGCCATCACCTCGAAACCTCGTACATTTACCGTATGGACGGTATCTGGCGTTCCAAGTCTTGTATCTTCCGCCTCGGATGGAAAAATAGAAGAAAATAAAAGAAAACAAAGGAAAATAAAAGCAGCAAGGGATACGATATCGGATAAACGCGCAGACGCATATCTCATTATTCCGTTATTAATTTTTAACGAGGGGCATTTTATGGCTATACTCTTTCGTGGTAACGAAAAGATGGAGAATTAGCAGAAACAGACGAGACATTCGCGAGTATCCAAAGATTTCGATTCAACCGAGTCGGAGCCAGCCGTAAAAGTTGGCTGGCACCGAACTCGGTGGAATTTTCGCGAAAGATTGGGAGAAAAATTTAGAAGCTAGTAGTAATGGCGCCGATAAGATGGCCGAATAATACGTCACGTTACCCGTTGTTGTCAGGTGCAATCTTTCATGAAGGCGACGAGGACCACATGGCTGCGTTTGAAAAGGCTGTGGAGGAAGCGAAATTCGAGCACGTCGCACCCGCATTCGAGCTGGATCCCGTCATAATAAAGGTGAAGGTTAATACCGACAGCTTCAGGACCGCCGTCGCTGGTTTGTATGAATATATAATATATATCTACGTGTACACAGTTACAGCCACAATGTCTGATCAGCATTCGTCTATTTCCCTTTTGCCTACTTCGACCTGGTCCCTTGCCAATTTCCATGATCGTTGCGATATTTGTAACATTTTGCCAATAAGACGCTTGTCTCGCGTCGATTTATCCCCATTGCGTATAGGTATTTCACGAATGGACGACTATTTACACGCTATAGCGTGTAGACCACCCGAAAAGTCTCGGAAAAGTTCTACCGTCTTTGATAAAACGGTTTTGTTTCCAATAAATTACGAACCTCGAACTACCTCGGTGATTTTTACTCGGACGAAATGCTCGATAGCCATGCCAAGACTCGCAGGGCGTGTCTGCCATCGTCGCGAGTAGTTTTTACCTCCGGTTGGAGGTGCACGCGAAGCAAAATCACCTGGCCGGAAGATGAAAACTGCTAATGAACCAATTAACGGTGGAACATACACGGTCGTTCGATCGGGAGAAATTTAAACGTTTTATCTTCGTTAATTGTGAAGGAAACGCGACGAGCATCGTCGATATCCGTGAACAGGATCCAACGAGATCAGGGATAGCAGCCTCTGATTTTCTTGTGATCGAGCGCGGTGAACCCCTCGAATCCGATCGACGCGATAAATTTCGCGTTAAATCCTGTCGCGAAGCGGACGGGTCGTGGGGCGGGGCGATAATAAAGCGTAATTGGACCTCTTTACCTCGCGATGCAACTCGATATTTAAATGGCTCCTTTCTTCTTGCTTTCTCTTTTCCCTCCCCTTTCTCCTTTTCGTCCCCTTGAAATTGAAACGAATAATAAGATTACTTTCCGTACGCTCGTGCCGCTCGAGCACCGTTTCTTCTGGGTCGCGGGACACGGAGGATGGAATATTGATTGACTTTCCTTCGAAATTCCATCGCTCCGACACGGTTTCGCGAGAGGTAGGAATAAATGGGACTTAAGCCATGCGGAATTGATCAAATCCCGATTTTCGCGATTATCGCGCGTCTCGAGGTTTCCTCGGTTACCAGCTTACGTAGCCGTCCTCGTGGACCAACCCCGCGATGCAATTTGCCCTGACCGGCCTGGCTAACCTAACGCCTTTTAATGTTGCAGCTTGCCAGCTATTGGATCAGGGTGTGGCGGCAATCTTCGGCCCTTCGAGCCCGTCCACTTACGGAATTGTCGCGAGCATCGCGGCGCGGTACGACGTGCCTCACATCGACTATTTCTGGCGGCTGAACGAGGAGTTGCAGGCCGACCAGGAGCCAAAGAACCCGAAACCTATGACCATCAACGTGTTTCCCGACAGCGACATGGTCGGCCAGGTAAGCGGAAATCGAACGTTTCGTTTCTCAGAGGTGGAGGATCTTAATCGCTGCTTGAAAGGATAGATGTCTAGGTTCGAAGATTCGATTACGATGATTTCACCGTGTCGAAAAAATATCGCGACCTTTCGTACTTGGTTTCACGCGAAACGGCGAAAATTTGACGCGAAAATCACCGGGAAATTGGACGCCGCGAGTATCTTGGTTGCGCGTTGGACCGCGCGAACGTGTATTTACCCGCGAGGAAAAAGAGGAGGAAAAAGGAGGAAATTACGGCGGAGTAATTGATCGTGAAGGAGTGTATAGGGGGAAAGCGCGAGTTTTGGCCAGGACGATTGGGAAGGGGAAAGGACGCGAAAGAAAAATATCGGGTCAGAGGGAAATACGCGAGGGCGAGCACCGCGACGGAGGTGGCATTTCGATGCATTTTAAATTACTCGTTTAACGAGGCAAATCGAGCGGTCTTGAAGTAGCTGGCGCATTAAACCGGCTAGTCGAGGCTAATGAGCGCGATCAAAGACCGAACTTCGGCTAACGACGCCGGATGAGTTTTTGTTCAGGCACCCTTTTCACGGGCAGCGGCGGGAAAACAAACGAAAAACGTTGATACCGATCGAACAGGTCCCCCCGATTAAGTCTAATTAAAATTGTCGACGAACGAGCGTGGCGGGTGTAAAGGATTACTTAGCTTTTCGATCTTTATAGCGCAATTAAAGCGCCTGGCCGTGTGTTAGGTTAGTTAAATCCCCATGGTAATTGGTACAATGCGTGTGCCCGGGCTTTGCCCCTTCGATGCATAAATATGATTGCGAGAAAGAAGAAACGAGGAAATGAGAATATAAAGGAAGCGTTAAACGCGTAAAACGCGAAGAGGCGCGGCGGGAAGCCATTAATGTTAGAATATATCGCCGATCAATACGAGTCTTACGACTCGACGCTCGTTAACGGATGCTAATAATATTAAAATGGCGAACGGGTGTGCAACTTTTATTTCGCCGGATACGGGAATTACCCGACGAAGTATAACGGGAACCGTTAACGAGTATGCAAACACCGCGTCCGTTATCGGTTACTTCAAATCTGTACTTCGTTACGAAGTATAACCGTCGAAAGACCCGAGTAACGAGTTTCATAAACGTAATTACACACCGGAACGCATTTTTCGCACACGCGTGAATCCCCCGTTTTGTACTTCCACTCGGGTAATAAGAATTTTGAAAGGTGCGCGTAATTTGCACGTCCGTTTCCGCTTTGATTTCCTTTTCCTCCCGCGTGCTTCCGATCCGCGAAATATCACCGTTTTATCGGAAAATTCCTCCCCACTGGAACGTAAAAATATTTCAATATTCTCTCTAGTCCTCTTGCCCTTTGAAGGCTTTTATTTCGTTTCACTTGTCCCCACCCCCCCTTTTTCTCTCTTTTTTTTCCTATTTGTCGTTTTGTTTCACAGCGACTCTCCGTTCGCGGCATTTTTACGCCGTTCCCGCAGGAGGAAACGCGGCGAATTTTTCGTCCGTCGAATTTTCACATGCCCGAACAAACTCGACGGTTCCGTTAATTTATCGCGCGCGTCGCGACGTTCAACGTTTCCTCCACTGACAACGATCCGCTCGTGACGAATTCCTGGACGATTTTCCGGCTTTAAACGCGAGTTCGAACGGTCACGTCGCGTCGTCTCTCGTGCAAACTAATACTTTTAAATATCGCAGTCGAACAACCGGTCCCTCCGCGTGCGAAACTTTTATAGCTTTTTTCTCTCTCTTTCTCTCTCGTCAAACGGAGCATCGTCGCGTAGATTTTAATCGTGGTAATAGTAAAGATATAAATTTCCAAACGCAACGAAGCCGATGAATCGCTTAAATCGGCAAGAAATTAACAGCTTCGCCGTTTAAACGACGAATTCGATAGCGATCGGGCATTAACGGCGTTGTCGCAAGCTCGATAAGGTCAGTCGTAAAAAGAGAAACGCGAAATACCGTCGGATCGACGTAGGACGAGTTAAATCCGATCCGCGAGTTTCCCTTCTACTTTACGCCATTATCGAGGGACAATTACGACGAAATGGAACGCGTTTTACACGAGTCCGCGAACTTTTTACACGTATCGCGGGATAAAGCGCGGAAACGCGGGAACTGTTTCGCGTAGTTGCGGATAATGTACGAATATACCTGTACAGCCTTTTATTTCGCGACGCGGTAATTAAGACGCGGGACTTTAGTACGTAACTAGAATGGTGCATTAAAACGGCGTTAAACTCTCGTGACACTTGAGTATTCGTGGTCCAGCGTGCAATTGCGCGTTTGCTTTCCTATTTTTCTCGTTATTCTGCCCGCACTGCCGCGTGCGCGATGAAGAACACGATCCGGCATTCGTTTTCGCGTTTGTCGCGCGAGAGGTGTACGATTTCGTAAAAAGGAAAAAATAAACCTTCGTGCGCTTTTATTATTGCATTTACACCGTTGCAGCTGCACCTTTTCCCGCGAGATTGCATTGGCACCATTGCTTACAAGATCGCACTCGCGTCCCCGCATTCGTATTATCGCACTTACGGCATTGCACTTCCCCCCGATGCAGCTGCGCAGTTGCACTCGCATCGCCACAGTTGCACGCGCGATATCGCAGTTGCGACCCTGCGTTAACGTTATTACGCTTGTAGCCTGCACACGCAGCGCGCATATGCGCCGGTGCACTTGCACTAATACACGCGTTATTGCATTTGCATTATTGCATCTGCGTCGTTACATCGCCCCGCTTCCGCTGCCGCACTTACACCGTTACACCGCGCGTTTGCAACGTGGCACTGCCACTATGTCATCCGGTCTATCGCGGTCGTACCGTTGCATTTCCGCCCTTGCAATTGCGTCGATGCGCCGATGATCGAGACGATCGTCGTCGGCTCAACGACCGCTTACCTGTCAGCTTAGCTCCATCCGAGGTAACGCTGACGTTGCTTAAAGTCCGAGCGTCGTCCATCGATGAAAATCGGGAAAACGTTTTCCAGGCGATCGCAGACGTGGCCGTGTCCATGAAATGGAACACTTTCGCGGCCGTCTACCAAAACAACGACGGCCTCTCGCGAATTCAAAAGGCCCTGTCGATGAGGCGGAAGAAGGACAGCGTGATCACGATCAGAAGGCTCGGCGATGGACCGGATTATCGATCGGTCCTGAAGGAGATTCGCTCTCTGTCCATCTGCAACGTGATCGTCGACGTAGAGCCGAATAACATCATCGAGGTCCTCTATCAGGCGAAGGAGGTCAAGCTGCTGGCGGACTACTGTAATTTCTTAATTACTTACCTGGTATTACGCCACATTCTACTTTATATGCCTAGATGTCGGAAACTCCTAACGATTCCCCCTTTTACGACCGGCCAATCCACTTGGTCGTAGCAGGGGCGAACATCGCTTCGTAATTAATCCCTCTTGGGGTGGAATTCGCGGCAAAACGTATTCGAAAGTTACGTCGTCGACCGTTACCGATGTTGATCATCCTAATAACGATCTTTGAAAATAAAATATCGCTTTTACCACGAGAAGAATTAAATATCGATCGAGTTTGGAAACTTTCCATTTATCGAACACGCTCGATCTTCTCTACTTTCTCTCTAGAATAATCGACTAGAAGTTTGTATTTCGAATAAATTAACACCACTCGGTCGAAAAGTATGCATAAAGTGTGTCAGCCCGCGAGGGATTAAGCGAAACAAACGCAAAACCACTTTGCCCCCCCCACTCGTATATCCGTGCAACAAACTCTCTGAACACGTTTCCTGCCTTTCGTGCATCCGTTTCTTCGTAACAGCGAATGTATTTTGGAAAATGCACTTGTACTCGTTTAAAGGTAACGAAGTTCTGACAATAGAGGTGGATTCGCGAGATCGTACAACGAGCGTTCCGCGTGGTTACGTTAATATTCATACTAGGATAGACTCTACAGAGCGTTGCTTCGACTTCTCCGCATAATTCTTTCAAAGCCGGGACGCATCCATCTCGCGGATCGAATATGTCCATGAAAATTACAAACACTCGTGAAGTTGGAAACCCCGCGTTATGCAGACTCGCTCCATAATTTTCTCCGAGATCTCCATTACTGTAAATCAGAAATTCGGAAGTGAAGCGAAATTCACCCGCGTTCCTGGGACCCTCCTTGCCAACCGTGGCAAGTACCTACTCGCGCGTGACCAACAGCTATATCTCAACCCCGATTCGCGGCAATCGTCAATGTTCCCAGCTCTCTGGTCCGTGATTCCAGATTCGTCGCGTTTCGAAACAGTTTCGCGATTAACCCGCCGCGGAATTTTCTCAGCAGCGGCCACCGGTATCAGGGATAACCGTGAACCGGTCGCGGCTTTCCCGGCGGCTACCTTCCCAACGGAATTTCATTAATAAATCCATGGAACGCGTCGCGGTCACGTTCACCCCCTGGCGTAGTAACTGCATTAGCCGGTTACAATTGCCAGGCTTTTTATTAAACGAACCCATAAATTGCCGCGAGTAATTGTTTTCAGCGATACGCCGGTAATGGCGTGCCGTCTGAACATTCCTCCGCTCGCCATCGCCCCCGGAATCCGCTTTTTATGACGCATTACCACCGAGCACGTAACAATACCTCCATAAATAACGACGTTCGCGATGCGTCGAGGGTTTTCGCGAAAGGCGTATCGTTTCTCCCGTTTTTATTTTTCCCTCGCTCTTCTCCTCCTCCTCCTTCGCCTTCGTCTCCATTTCCTTCGCTTTTTATTTCGAGGAGGAACAACGCGACGTCCTCAGGGTGACGCACCGAAGCGCCCCCTTTGTCGCGGCGAAGCGCCCATATACGCGAAGACAATGCGAAGTTTCAACAGAAGTCGTGAACTTCAACGATTTACGGGCCGGTTCGAGTGCTGGAGGAACGAACGAGGTGTCCATTTGGGGGGTATGTTTGAAAAAGGTCCACGTCGTTGGCAGATGTTACTTCACCCCCCGAGATGCGACTTTTCGACGGTTATTTACGCGGACAAATTTCCGGTCTCCTGGTATTTATCGACGAATAGCAAAGCGGTGTCCCGTTGCGGCCAACACAGGTTTGGTGTCCATTTGGGGGGTATGTTTGAAAAAGGTCCACGTCGTTGGCAGATGTTACTTCACCCCCGAGATGCGACTTTTCGACGGTTATTTACGCGGACAAATTTCCGGTCTCCTGGTCTTTATCGACGAATAGCAAAGCGGTGTCCCGTTGCGGCCAACACAGGTCCACAGACGTTTTATCGTAGACCGATCATTACCGGTTCCATCCGTCCGAGTTCTGTTCGAATTTCGTGCGGGCCTTGTACAGTTCTCTCACGTAGTACGTCATAGGTAATTTCGAACACGTCTTGTAAAGGTAAACAGGTGTGTGCAGAATCCATCCCCGAAGCGGGTCTCGCGTACTATGGGACATTTCGCGTGTAAGGCTCGCCTCTATCGGATTTGATATAATAGAATACTCGATTCGTGCATACCCGAAGAGATTTTCGCGACTCTCGAGCGCGAGATCCTGATTACCTTCGCGAAGCCGGATTGCTTTTAGATAAATACCGATGACTTTGAAATCTCTCGGCAGATGATCTCTTGGAACGGATTCGCCTGGAAATTGTCGTAAAGCGAGGTAGGGGCGCCTTGATTACGCCGGGAATTCGACGGAAGTTGTTTGGACTCTCCTCTCGTCGTTCGCAAATAACGAAATTTGTCCGTGTACACAGGAGGCGAGGCCCGGCGGGTGGTAGAAGGCGTGCCGTGTCGTATGAATTCGTGAGAAATTTCACGATGCATCTATATTTGTCCGGGCTGTCGAGAAATTCGTGGAAGTCGCCTCGTTGAACGGCACTAGAGCCAAACCCTAGACACCGAGTGGACCCACGTCAACGTCACTGTTTCCGCCGCCCCGATGCCGCGATTTCGATAACCCTGAACAACTGCCGCTCCTCAGGGTCGACCTTTCCGTGTCAGCAAATATGTTCTAATTATAGTTCCAGCGACAAGGGAAGGCTTGTGCACGCTGGTGCGGCAAATGTACTTGGCAAACGACGTATTTGTTCTCTCACCGCCTACGATTAATGGACTCTCAGAACTTTTTCGTCGGCCAAGTTATTCGCCGAACGACTATTACGTCGAAAAGTACAAACATCGTATGGCTACCTTCGAAGTGCAACGCGCAATCGAAGATAGTTCGACGACGGGACAATAGATTCGAAATTAGGGTAACAAGAAGCCATTGTTATAATGCGCGTTTATCAAGTTTCTACTTTCAACGGTGGAAATTCGTTTTCTCGTTTTATTTATTTCATTTTTATATCGTTCCCTCTGCGAAGGTTCAGAGGCGGACTAAATTTATCCGAATGGAATTTGGACATTCCGCAGACGCGGAACACACGCCCACCAGGTCTACGGACGTCCATGTTACACGCGCCCCAATTTATTTTATACGCTGCTCCTTCCGATACAAGTGCACCCGAAACAAATACTTGCCATCTGTATCCGCAGCATCCGATCTCCGACCTACATACCCGATCACTCGGGCATCCGAGGAACAGGCAACGCTCCGAGCCGTTTACTCCGATTCCGCGGCTGTTGGGATAAAAATTACGAAGAAACAGCCAGTCAGTCGACGAACCGGCAACGCACTTCCGCGATCCGTCTGGCCTCCGTTTGCAGATACACTTCTTATAGTTAGCGCGGAGTTTCCAAGTTATTTCCCGCTTGTTGCACCGAGACAACGAGGGAGCAAGGCGAACGACCCTTCAAACGCTGGTCCGCTTAAGATTCCAAGTTTCACGGTTGCCGGTGTATTGGTTGCTCCCCGTTGAATCGGGTCGGGTCCGTTGAGACGCGTGTACACAGTGACGGATCGGTTTTTCGGAGGGCCGCGTGAATTCGGAGAAGCATCCAAGATGGATGACGCACGGTCGGAAAGTTTGGCTCCGTTGCCAAATAGGAACGGGGCGCGGCTGGCAATTGGTAATTTCAAAATTATGTCCTGGACAAAACTGGGCTCGTGTACGCGGGGTGAATCCGCGATGTAATTACCCGGGCTACCATTGTTGGACGGTAAAAGAGGCAGAGGTAGTCTGAAACGTGAAAACGAGTGAAAAATAATTTACGTTGACTCGTTAGGCTAGTTTCCGTCAGATATCTGACTGGGTACCTCGATCTATCGATGTCCTTTATCCTTGAGATCCTTTTTTCGCGTTACGGTGTACGAAATTATCTGTATTTCATATATTATCTTTTCACTCTGTTGTTTATACTCGGTTCATAAATTACAGGACTCGACGAAAATTCCCATGTGGGAGGTGAGAAATAAAACAACCACCAATATTACTGGACTCAGTTTGCGAGAAAATGACGTGGAAGGGATTAACTGGGTGAGTATGAAAAATTAATCTTCTAATCGAATTTTTCCCTTCCTTTCAGAGCAACTTTAATTTCGCTCGGTAGATTCGCTTCGGATATTTTTAATTCAGCGAAGCAGTTTGTATCTTTCCTTTCTCGGTAATCGAGATATTCGTCTAGATCCCAAACGAAATGTCCAAGTGTTAATATTTTTGAGCTATCGGTTTGATAAACGTCGATATGTTTGACAGTCAATCCTGCCTCGCGAAGGAATATTTCAGGTGTCAGTATTTTCGGTATTCCATGAATGTAGAGTACAAACTGGGTTTCGTGAAATTGGCACTGTCGATGTTTAAGTAGCTTCGCAGCAATCTCTCAAGAATGTTTCCCCGAGGTCCCAGAATTCGCGGATTAAACGGCGTTTAATATCTTTTTAATCGATGTAACGCGAAACTCTTCTGAAAATTTATACTCATAAAGTGCACGGTTGCCGCGATGAATTAATGACACTGTCAAAAATTCGCGACGTATTTTCCATTACATGAACTACTTACGAACATTATCACCCTCGCACTTTCCCATTAATCTCTACTTAGCAGTGAACCTACCTGAAACTTTTAATTAAAAATTCTGCATTCGATATTATCTCTTTCGTCGCTCGACTTTGCCACTTTCTTTACAATATGCGTATAATCAATTTCCCGATACCTATCTTCCTCTTTCCCCACGTTTGTTCCTACATTCGCGTGTAATATTCATAGACCGTGGCATCTGTATTCATAGATTCGTAGATGCTACACGCGTTACGTATTCGGAAAACCGAGAAACAGCGAAACAAAAGAAATAAGACACTGGGTTAGATTTTCCCAATGTTCACGTACGATTTTTGAGTCGGTTGAACGTACCATTCGGTTACGTCGTTTTTCACGAGCCGGAAAGATCGCCTAAACGCGACGCCACCGGACGCCGTGGTTCAAGGTAATTTCTTCATTAACTCCGCGGTATAATGGAGCCTCGCGCGCTCCGCTTCGAGGATGCAACACGAGGCCTTCCGTTTTCCGGAAAATCTACCCGCGACACGGCACTTGCGAGCAGCTGACGGCTGGCTTAATTTTCCTTTCATTAGCCTCCGCCGATTCGCTTTTGTATCGCCAACCCTTGCCGGATAGAGGGTTGCTGCCCGTACACGCGAGCAATATCGCCGCGTTTCCCTTTCCGCTTCTGCGCGAACGCCGCGTTCTTTCATAATTTTCCGAAATTGCACGGCTTTAAACGTTTTCGTCTCTCGTTACAACGGATCGTCGCGAGCGTGTTACCGGTCCCGAACGAACTCGCTGAATTACAAGATTGCGGTGCATGTCCGATGGCCGAGATTCTTTCCTGAAGCTGTAAAACCCTTGCTCGTTGGAATTTTCTCGCCGTTCCGAGAAATTAGCGTAACTGTTCGTTGCTGAGTTTCCTCCCAGTTGCAGAGGTAATCGCGATGTTCCTGCATTTTAAATAAAGGAATTCCTCTGTGGCGGACGTAGTTCTGGGAAGGTGATCCGGCAAGTCCCCCTTCGGGTTACAGTTTCCCTCGGAATAATTGTTTGCACGTTTGCAAGATAGTTTTCTACAGCTATTTCGTTGGAATTGTGGCACGATGTAGGTCGCGTGTCCTGCACTGATTTCTTAACTATCGTTCTCGAACGTTAGCTTTTCAACGGCAGTTTCCCTGCCGACATGTCAGATCCAGTAAGAATTGTTGCGAAGGTAACAAAATATCGATAATTTTATAATAAAATCGTGTTCTATGGAAGGGGGATATCTTTTACTGATATCTTGTACTTTCTTCTGCAAAAGGTGGAGTCGGCAGTGCTGTACGATGCAGTCTTCCTGGTGTACAACGCATTGGAGGCCTTGAACGCAAGGAACAAGGACAGCAACGCGTCTGTAACTATTGACCCGGTACCGCTCTCTTGTGAAAACGAGGAGAAATACAGCGCAGGTCCCAACATTACCAACCTGATGCGCGAGGTAAAGGCTCTCACCTACTTTCCTCGCGGTCTAAACACCGCGACCTTTCCGGTTCTCCAGGTCACGAGTAGCGAATATTACCGACTATATCTAACCCTCGTCCGAACCTCTTTTAACGTTCCACGCGAACGAAGAAATGAGAATTCCGCGATAAAGGATCGAATCTGACGAAACATGTCTTTCTCGTAGCTATCGAATCAAGGGAAGATCACAGGGCCGATAACGATAGACGAAAATGGTCGACGGCAGTTCTTCAACGTGCGAATCATGGACGTGAGAGAAGGAGAAAGCGTGCAAACAGGGTACTGGGATCCGGATGGTCTTCACTCGATCGACAGCGAACAGGAACGCGAGAATTACTTGTACAAATCCATCGAGCAGAAGAAGTTCAAGATCAGTACCAAACTAGTGAGCATTTCTCTACCCTCCCTGCTACTTGTAATTACCAGAATATCCTCATTGCCGGAGTATCGATAATTACGTCTGTTTGAGGACCAATAGGGACGCTTTGTTTACGATACAGTTAATTGATCGAGGTATCGTTGCAGGCTTGATGAGCTCGGCCGAAACAGGGATCGAGTGGAAGTAAATTTAGGAAGTAAATATGGAAATTCCGGTGACGATAGTCTGGTTTTTAACAAGGAACGAGGAACCAGGGGTGAAAAGGGTGAATGTATTAATAATCGGTACTAATTAATGATAAATCATCAGGGCCCGCCGTACGTAATGGAAGTGACGGATAGCGCAACTCGAGGTATACTGATCGAGCAAACGCGGTACGAGGGCTTCTGCATTGATCTCATCGAGGAGATTGCCAAGCTGCTGAATTTTAAATATGAGTTCGAATTAGTGCCAGACGGTAAATACGGCACGTACGACAAGGAAACAAAGCAGTGGAACGGTTTAATCAGACGTTTACTGGATCGTGTACGTAATTGTTTGTAAGCACGCGGGATTTAATTAAACGCGGCTCAAACGAGATTTCCAAGATCTAAATAGCTCGCGTCACTTTCGAGCCTGGTCGCACGGTGACCAGTGAATTCCTGTACCGACTGATGTGCTAAATTTATCATTTTCCACGTATCAACGTTCTCCGGTTAAAAAGTAATATCTTTTCATAAATTGATATAAATATCGCGCTAACGTAATAAGTTGAACTGGGATTATATTTAAATTTAAGAGAAGAAACAATCGAGATAAAGATATACGACCGGTTTTCAGGACGCGGATTTAGCAATTTGCGACCTGACAATCACGTACGAGCGTGAAAGCGCGGTCGATTTCACGATGCCATTCATGAACCTAGGTACGCCATCGCTAATTCCTTATCCCGTCCCATTTTCGCGATAAATCTCGCGACATTGCTATTTCATCCGATGTGTCCAAATCAGGTATCAGCATTTTATCCAGAAAACCGGAGGAGAAGGAGCCGGATCTGTTCTCCTTCCTGTCACCGTTGTCAACCGACGTCTGGATTTACATGGCGACTGCTTTCTTAGCAGTTTCGATAATGCTGTTCCTGCAAGCTAGGTGAGGTTTTAAAGAAAACTACCGAGAAAGCTGGCAGCTTACGTCGGAGAAGTTTCCCTTTTCGGGATAGAAAAAAATTCCACTGAGCCCTGCAAAGACGTCGTAAAATTAAGTCCGCGAGAACCTATCGAAGGAGGAGGGCACAGGATGCTTAAGGGAAGGTCTGCTTTCAGAATGGCGCCTGGCGAATGGGACAATCCGCATCCGTGCAATCCAGACCCGGAGGAATTGGAAAATAGTTTCGACCTGAAAAACTCCATGTGGCTTACCGTTGGCTCTATCATGCAACAAGGCTCTGATATACTTCCCAAGTAAGTTCGAAGCGGTGAACTTAACAAAGCACCTATGCCACCGCAGCCCGCCTTACGTGCATGCAAAGCCGCGCGATAATCGCGAAACAGAAACCGCAACACCGCCGTAAAGAGATGCAACCGTGCCTGTTTCGCCTTATACAATTGCATATGTGGGAATTACCGTAGTTCTGGTAAACGAGTCTCGGTTGGTTTATTAATTAACAATCGGTGTAAAATGAATCATCCGAGAGAAATAAATTTCAGCATACTCCGTGGGAGATTTTTGTTTCAAAGTTTCAACGTAGCACGTACGTTTCGACGTATTTAACAAGTTTCAACGTATTAAGCAGGATTGACAGGAATTTTTTCGGGTGAATTATAATATTTTTAAATAAACCACTCCCAAGCGAGCAGACGGAATTTCTTGCAACGATGCCACCGACGCGGTCCGCGTTGTATACGCCATTAGGATTACGCAAAATTAAAGTTTAATAACCAAATTTAATTAAGGAATATCTAAAATGCCCCCGAGTCCGGCTTAAGTAGACGAGGACAGCGTTACACGGGCGAAAGGTACAAACTTTCCAGATACGTAACAAAATTACGCTTTATTCCCTGTCTACGGGTATTCTCTTATTAAATCCACAATCTCCATCCGTGAAACTCGATAAACGGATAAACGAACACACCGCGACCCGGCTGCATATTAAATCACGGTACGTCATTTAAAATCTCCTACGACCCGATACCACGTTCTCGGACATTCCGCGTCGAGGCGTCTGCTCGCGTTGAAGGGGAACGAAAATCTTGTTGCCGCGCGATCTCGTTATTCTGTTTAAGGAAATAAAATATCGCGGATCGTTTGCAGGTGAAAAACTCCATGTGGCTTACCGTTGGCTCTATCATGCAACAAGGCTCTGATATACTTCCCAAGTAAGTTCGAAGCGGTGAACTTAACAAAGCACCTATGCCACCGCAGCCCGCCTTACGTGCATGCAAAGCCGCGCGATAATCGCGAAACAGAAACCGCAACACCGCCGTAAAGAGATGCAACCGTGCCTGTTTCGCCTTATACAATTGCATATGTGGGAATTACCGTAGTTCTGGTAAACGAGTCTCGGTTGGTTTATTAATTAACAATCGGTGTAAAATGAATCATCCGAGAGAAATAAATTTCAGCATACTCCGTGGGAGATTTTTGTTTCAAAGTTTCAACGTAGCACGTACGTTTCGACGTATTTAACAAGTTTCAACGTATTAAGCAGGATTGACAGGAATTTTTTCGGGTGAATTATAATATTTTTAAATAAACCACTCCCAAGCGAGCAGACGGAATTTCTTGCAACGATGCCACCGACGCGGTCCGCGTTGTATACGCCATTAGGATTACGCAAAATTAAAGTTTAATAACCAAATTTAATTAAGGAATATCTAAAATGCCCCCGAGTCCGGCTTAAGTAGACGAGGACAGCGTTACACGGGCGAAAGGTACAAACTTTCCAGATACGTAACAAAATTACGCTTTATTCCCTGTCTACGGGTATTCTCTTATTAAATCCACAATCTCCATCCGTGAAACTCGATAAACGGATAAACGAACACACCGCGACCCGGCTGCATATTAAATCACGGTACGTCATTTAAAATCTCCTACGACCCGATACCACGTTCTCGGACATTCCGCGTCGAGGCGTCTGCTCGCGTTGAAGGGGAACGAAAATCTTGTTGCCGCGCGATCTCGTTATTCTGTTTAAGGAAATAAAATATCGCGGATCGTTTGCAGGAAAGTCTACAGAGACGGTGCCAAAAGCAGACGCGGCGCTTTTTTGCCCCCTCGCCCCCCTCCCCTCCCCCTTAGCGTTCTCGCGGCCCCGGCCATCCTCTTTTTTTCACGACAATTAAGCTTAACGAGCCGCTGTTTGCCGGACATATTTGAGGCGGCTTCCCACTTATTAGCGCCGACGCGGCGCTAACTCTCCGCTCGTAACGTCGCGCGTGTTTGCTCGCTACATACTGACGACGTTCCGACCAAAGACGACGACGACGACGGTGACGACGGTGACGACGCTGATGGTGACGGCTAACAACGGCGGATCTCCGTAACTGCTTCCTAGCCGCTTGCTTATGCTGCGCGAAGGTGCCACGGATAGTCGTGATTTGCATGTAATATTCGAGTGTCTTTTCCTCTACCTGCGCTACTCGCCGCGACACGCGATGCAGGACTGAGATCCTTGCTAGCGTTAATAATGCATGAACGCAGTTGCGCTCTAGAAGGCGTCGATCGTGCTCTTTATCTGCTCCGAAGCGGGTGGGTCGGTTTAAAAGCAGCTTTCTAAATTTCGCGTACATTTTTCGGACTCGGTGGAATCTTTTGGAGAAAATATTCGAATCTCGCGAACAGTAATAGGAAATGAGAATATTGTAAACGAAGATAGGGCAACGAACGTTCCGCGTGAATCGTTGATTATGTCATTGGTTATTTATTAACCCTGCAATAGCAACGTAGTTGCGTTTTTGGTCGTTAAGCAACCACGAATCGAGCGGAAAAATCCTTTATTTCGTGGAAACGTACTCTGCTCGGTAGCGGTATATCGACTTCACGCGGCGGCTATTTAATCGCGATCCATTTGTCGGCGAAGGGACGAGCCCGCGAGGAAACAATGTCCTTTGTTTCTGTTTACTCGGCGTCCTGTGCATGCTCGCGCGACACGGAATATCCGCGCACACACACACACACACACCGTGCTTCGCAAACAGGCGTCATTTGCATACGCGGCTCTTTAGCTTGCGCTTAATTAGGAAAACGCGGCGTACGCCGTCTCGTCTCCGCTTCTGCGCTGCCGCGTGTCGCGTCGAGATGCTCCATCCACTCGGCCCTCGAGTACCGGACCATTTATCCGGCCGACGTAGATCGCGATTAGGTAAACCGTAGACGGATCTCTCGTTGCGCCAAGCCCCGCTGTCCGATCTGCGAAAATCATCTCTCCGAGAATAAAGCAAATCACGGTATGGATGAACACGACGGCCGTTCGAGCATGAATCGTTTTCGGTATGACATCTTCGTGGGTTTACGCGATTTTTCGATTGATCGAGGAGCGAGGTACGTCCCGCGACCGGCATCGATTCGCGCAGATAAGCCGCAGCCCGCATAGATCCGATCTGGACCGCGTCCAATTCCTATCGATCCGCTTCGACCAGCTTCGGCTAACATAAATTCGCTTTGACCAACTCCGAGTCGAAGCTATCCGTTTCAACCAGTTCCAATTTCGCCGGATCTAATAGCGACGTACTTCGATTCCCTCCAACTCTCCAACAGCCCTCTATCTTTCTATCTTTTCCACTTAGGGCACCTTCCATCCGGATGGTGGCTGGCATGTGGTGGTTCTTTACGCTGATTATGGTCTCCTCCTACACCGCCAACTTGGCCGCCTTTTTGACCGTCGACAAAATGGACAACCCAATTAAGGGCGTCGAAGATCTCGCTAAACAGACGAAGGTCAAGTACGGAGCAGTAGACGGTGGATCCACGTCCGCCTTCTTCAGGGTAAGTTTGCGTCTATCGAAACCGTGTTGTAGATTTGAATTCTGACGACGTTTTCCTATCGTAGGATTCCAATTACTCGACCTACCAACGCATGTGGGCCGCCATGATGGAAGCCAGGCCGAGCGTGTTCACGAAAAGCAACGACGAGGGCGTGGATCGAGTGTTGAAGAAACGTGACTACGCTTTTCTCATGGAGTCCACCACGATCGAATATAGAATGGAAAGGAACTGTGATCTCGATAAGGTCGGAGGTCTTATCGATAACAAGGGATACGGTATCGCCCTTCCACGAAGTGAGTCGAACGATCGTTCAATTTTACTCTAGCCACGCCGACAGGGATCCGTGAAATATGAACGTTTCCCCGTAGATTCCCCGTATAGGACGCCCATCAGCGGCGCGATACTGATGCTGCAAGAAAAAGGGTTGCTCCAGGACCTGAAGAAGAAATGGTGGGAGGAACGCGGCGGTGGATTGTGCTCGAAGGTCGACCAGGAGCCAACAGTGTCGAGCGAATTAGGGTTGGCCAACGTCGGTGGTGTTTTCTTGGTCCTCCTGATCGGATGTTGCGGCTCGTTCGTCATCGCCGTCTTTGAATTCCTGTGGAATGTACGAAAGGTCGCTGTAAAGGAGAAGGTGAGCCTCCTTCGTGGTCCCTTCCTTCCACTAGAGGCCGTTATCTCACCCTTCTATCTCTTTTACCCTGAAACCAGTGATAAATTTTCCACCGCGTCGCGTGCATCTGAGGGCGTAGGAATAATTCTTCCTCGTAAAGACAGTCTTTACATTCTTCTCCGGGAAAATGACAAATCATAGCCGCCAACTTTTACTCCTTGCTTAGATTCTTCTCTTCTTTTCTCTCTCTCTCTCTCTCTCTCTCTCTCTCTGGTTTAATTCGAGGAAAATCCATCGAGATAGAAGCGTGCAATCGTAGAGAGTTTATATTTTGTCGCCAAAGCGGCAACGAATTGGAATTAAGGAACGATCTTGACGAATTTCGGTGGCATTATTGCAGGTTACACCGTTGGAGGCTCTGGTAGCGGAATTGAAATTCGCCGTGAACATTTGGGCGGAGACGAAACCCGTTAAAATCTCGAAAAGCAGCGGCACGAGTTCGATGGAGGGTGGCATCGGTCGGGCGGCCTCCACGGCCCGCTCAATCGTCGGCTCGTTCCTTCATCTCGACATCCTCGACAAATTCGATAAAGATAACAGTACCAACAATCGCAGCGACGATCGCAAGATCAATTAAAATTCCAGCGAATCCTTATGCTATTACGGATTAAGATCGGTTTGTTACAAATTAGAAATGAGCGATTTAGCCGTCTATTATCGAGCAGGATGTTTAGCTTACTAACTCTTAACAGAGATCTATCGTTTCTTCTTTGTCTTTGAATTAGAGTAATCCATGTACGATTGTAATCCTTTCTCGACGTTGCATTATTCAGAATGTTTAATTAAGTTTAGCTGTAAGTCTCTTCGCTCGCGATCTATCCTACAGTCGCAAGTATAGTACGCTCATTCGTATTTTATAAACTCTTATGGAATGGAATGGAAATTCCTTTATTTACGGTAGAATTGCATAATCCAGTCCGTGTGGATCGACAGCGAGATTAAGTGGGATGGATCGACGAGGATTCGGTGAGGGAGATTTAGAGAAGCGGACGCTGCGAAGCAAAAGAAAAAGAACCGACAGGTCGACCCGTGCTCCCGCGCATAAAGTCGTCATTCTCTCGAATAGTTGCAGAATGGCGACGTCATGGAAGGCAGAAATCTTCGCTGTAGGTCCGGAAAGGAATCCAACAATATTTGGACTCGGCCACAATGGCGCTAACGAACCGTGCCCTTGGTTTAGAAGATTTTCGTCCCAAGAAATCACCTGCAGGTTCCCTGATACCAGTACCCCCCGAGAGCAAGCCGGCATCTTTGTGTCATTATTACCGAGGGACGTTTCACTGCGTATGCGTCGATCGTTGGCGAGAAGACACTTTTAACTTTACCGACTTGACGTCGCTCGCGTCAAAGGGAAGTCGACGAACGACTGGCCCGGTAAGCGACGCCAATGATCCCCTCGATGGTTAAATTATCTTCCCGTGCCGTATTTTCGTCTCTTTGGAAAACGACGGGGTCCTTATTCGAATAGCCTTAGCAGACGAGGTGACGGCGAAAGCTTTGATTATCGGAAGATCGATTGTCAGGAATCTTCGCCCGTTCTTGCTTCTCGACGAGAAGGAATCATCGGACGAACATTTTCGTTCGCTTGGAATCTTTTCTACGAAATAAATTCGTTCGAACGGCGCGTTAAAAGGGGAAAGGAAATTTTACTGCCACCTTATCGCTTCGAAAAAGCATTACCGATTCGAAACGCGTAATAGCGCTTACATGCGAAAGATTTGCGTGGTGTGGAATATGCGAAGGCCGGGAATCGAGACGGCCAAGACGCGGAAAAGCATCTCGGTTAAATCGCGGCGTCGCTAACCAAAGGATTTCGAGTTATGAAGTCGTACGAGCACGCCTACCGGCAGTCCGATGATAAAGGTGTAAGGACATCGATTAATACCCGTTTTCATAGCGGCAGTAAAAGCGGGTAACACGATTACAGGCAACATTTACGGCAACCGAACGACCTGTTAAGTGTACGGTATTTTTGCAACGGGACGTTCATAATCGCGAGCGTTTCATGAAACGAAACTTTCGTCCTTTTACGGCTACGCTGACGCGTCTTTTACGAGCCACGCGTGTTTAGAGCCTGATATGGAAGTGGGTGTATTATTAACTGAACTGTTGCGTGTCACGCTTTTAGCTGAACATCGTGAATGTTTCACCGAGTTTACCGACTCTGCGATAAACGGGAATTCAGCAAACTGAAATGGATACACGGAGGTTGTTCCGTGCTTTAACCCATCGCAGCAACGGCATATTAAATTAATAATTCTCGGCGTTAGACTTACCCGTAGCAAATATTCCTTTTCGGACGAATTTTTGTAACATTTTTCGGAAAGAAAAGGATTTACAATGCGATACCGTCGAAACGGTTACATACGTAGGAAAGAAGACGATTTATTCGAATAAGGTAAAGCGAAAACTGCAAATTATCTGCGAGCAAACTTATTTATTTATGTACAGCGTTTGATCGATCGACGCTCGGCGCAAACCAAAGTACGCGATTTTTAATTTTTTATCGATATCGTTGGATAACGTTGGGCAACGACGACGTAATTTCGCGAGAATTATTTAATTTCCAAGTATTTATTTATACCCGGTATATTCTATATTTTAGCGAAAAACGCATTAACAGACTCTATCGAGTAAAGCACGTAATATAATATAAAATTCGATGACCCAAACATTCGGTTCAGCGTTAATAACCAATGATCGAACAATCAATCAAACGAGCAAATAAATTAATAGCATCCTCGCACACAACGAAGCGTATACCCGCAACACGTTCCTACTCGCTAAAATAATACGTCTCGATGGTCGTAGCTATTATGCAATTTCACCGTAGCTTAACGCAATCAGTTCTCCATAAATCACGTTACTTTCCTCCATCCATTTACGAATCATCTCCCATACCGATTCTGCCGCTTTATTAACACCACGCTAACCTTCTCCCTAACGATGCTTTCCGGCAATAAAATGTATCTTTCCCGCGGAGTATCGAGGTAAATCCTTTCCGGTGGAACGAACGGCTAGCAAAACCGCGGTCGGATGCGATTTAAACGACCGGGGGATTTAAGCGGCTAGCGGATTCAGATTATCGAGGAATCCCCTTAATCGACGGCAGTATAAATCGTTGCAAGGGGTTAATTAAGTTTTATAGCACGAGCGTTGGTCCGCCGTTATGCAGGTGTACCGGCGCGTTATCTACGATACATCTTCATCTCGGCAACGACTCGTCCGATCGAAGGCCTCCTCTTCTACCGATCCTACGTGTCCCTCTCTCGCGCGCGCGCGCGCGAGCGTCTCCGCGATCTTATCGCGTCGCGGCGAAAACAACAGGTGCACGAAATCACGCCCCCCTCCTCGAGATCCGCCGGCACTAGCGGAGTACTTTACGACCGTGCCGAATTTCAAATAGCATCGTAAAACCGTGTCCTCGTCGTCGGTCCACATGTCAGACCTCGTCGTTTCCTCTGTTGTCCCGATAACAGCGCGTAACCTCCGTCTCCAGGAACGGATCTAGACGAGGCGTTAACGCGTTCAGTGGTATTGTCAGTACTGCTGTGGATATGTCCCGGTAAGTGCTCGCGATTTTGAGGAGTCAGCCTGCGAGGTTGTTCAAGGATCGTTAATAGACCATTACTGGACATAGCATTATCGTCATTAGAGACATGGTATTATACAGGGTCGAGTTCCATACTCGTCGGGGGACCCGTCAAACGCTCGACGACCCTAATCCCGATCCCGACGCCTCGTCGCGACGCCGGACGTCGCTGAGCAAACGGTGGAAGCTCGGTATTAGTGGGCTCCGTGCCGAAGGAGCGAGGGATTCGCGAGATGGTCGGCATACCTCGCGACCGTGGTGGACGCGGACGACGGCGATCGGCGAGCGAGGAGGCCGTGCACATAAAATCCGGAGGTGTTAAGCAAGGGGAGGCGCGCATGGAAGCTGGAACGGTGCCTCTCTCAAAGAGGGAACCGCGGCCAGCGAGCGAGCGCCGGCTCGTAGGAATTGAAATTGATTTCGGTCGACTTCCATTACTCAAAGAGGACCGGGGAACGCGCACCGACAAAAGTCACAGACCGATCCTGCGTGGATAAGAGGCTTGCCCCCGTAGCAGGACCCGGACTCGCCAGCCGGACCGGAGGTTCCAGCCGGCCGGCCGTGGCCCAGGAATTCCTGGCGAGTTTTACCAGCGGGAGAGAGGGAGTGGAGACTTTTCTGGTTCCTCCTCTCTCTCTCTCTCTCTCTCTCTCTCTTTCTCCCGCTCTCTCGTCCGGACCGCCCTTCCATCGTCCCCGTGGTGGTGTGGAATCAATTTTTAGCTCGTCCAACCGCGCACCAGGGATGAACGGAGAGGGCTCGAGGGGTAGTCGAACGAAGACGAGTTTTTGAAGGGTTGCGCGGAATTAACGGGAGTAGACCGAAGCGATGAATTGTTTATCCTGTTAATGGGGTTAATGGAGCCGAGGTTTGGTTAGGTGGTCACGACTCGCGCAGATGTAAAACAGTCGTTTGGACTGGGTATAATCGTGAATCTTCCGTGTTTAGGTTCCCAGGGTTGATGGTAATAACGTGATCGCCGGTGAATTTGCCGTACATAATTGTCTATGAATAATTTCGTGCGCGGTAACTCTAGCGATACGCGACTGGACGACATAATCCGTCTCGCTGGCGAGGATCTCCGTTAAACGAACTGGATGTTCGCCGATTTCGCGTGGCTGCCAATGGTATCGACGAGTTTCAAACGGTAACGTTCTTGACGAAACGTCGAATGACGAAGCGGGACATTCCATTGTACGCGAGAGAAATTTTTCAAAAATTCCTTCCACCTTTATTCGGCATGTGTCCTGACGTCTCAGCGGCACTTCTAACGAATCCTCCACGGAATCTCTGTCCCTCTGTGTCACGAGGAGCCCCGGATTCTCGAAACCGTCTGAAAGTGACTTTGCTGCCGTCGCGGTAATAGCGCCTTCGCAGTCGTTCACCGTCCACGGAATTCCCGATGGACTCGTCAGATTTTTCCATTGTGTCACCGGCCCCGCGCCCTTTATGACTGACGGCAATCGCCGGAGAAGCGAGACCACCCGGTAGGCACCACTCCACAACTTCCGGAATCTTTCTATACTCGGTCTTCCTGGTAAGGGAGTTGGACTCGGCTTCGGGGAAGTCTACCTGCTGGAATCGTCCGGGGATTCGAGAAACTTTCGCTCGAATTCGTGAGTACGCCAGCGTTATATTAGTACACGAGCCTTTCGACGAAACGAGCCACCGACCGGCCCGGGAACCGTGTTCCAAGTTTACTTGCTTTTCTTGTTAGACGCAGAGAATGACCAAGTGTTTTATAATTGATCGCTCGATGAAACCATTACTTTTCCTAACTACCTTTCGTTGAGAAGAATGTTGACTCGCAGTTTAATTCGATTTCTTCCACGCGTAGTGTACCTTGCAAACAATTCCACCAACTTCGCGTTAAAAGTAGCCCGATAACACTGCTCGGTACGATTTTTAATCCGTCGTGTCCAATTCTCGTCGAGTTTACCTTCCTGAACGCGAATCCGAGAACGAAATTGCGCTATCTTACTTAGTTTCCGAAAAATGCAAGGTTTTTTAGAAACGCGGGATTATTTTTGGTTGAAACGAAGTATTGCGCGA